TTAAAGCAGATGAGGGAGTTCCTAAAGCCTGTAATTAACTGAGACAGGAGACTGAGTGCACAGAAGGGACTAAGCAAGGCTCAGAGCAGGTGTGCTATCGGTTCCAATGTAAGCCAGAAGAAATAAAGTAAATCTTGTTTCCTGGTTTTAAAAGATAGGTATTGCCTATGTAAGTAATGATAGTATTTTTTTAAACAATCATCTGAATGAAGATTTTATTTTTAATGTTTGACAAAACTAAGGAAATGCCACTTGTGGTGACAACATTGTGTTACAACCACATGTAACAACAAAGGTTATGTAAGACCAGAGGCAATGGGCAATAACTGAAACACAGGACTTTTGCAAAAAGCAGGAATTGCTTCTTCACTTGTGAGGGGGACTGAACACCAGCACAGGTTGCCCAGAGAGGCTGTAGAGTCTCCAGTCTTGGAGACATTCAGAAAACCATCTGGACATGGTCCCACACAATTGCCTCTACATGGCCTTGCTTAAGCAGGGGGTTGGACCCGATGACCTCCAGAGGTCCCTGCCAACCTGAGCTCCTTTGTGATTCTATGAGTTCAGAGCAACAGGTCTTGCAATATTGCAGTAATGTCTGGCAGATAAACTGACATCAACCTAAACTCAGCTGTCAGATACATACAGACAGAGTAATAAGGAGATATCCTAGTATTTCCTTTCTTTCTGAGAGGATAATTTTATTCAGAAGGGACATAACCTTGGATGCTTGACACTGTTAACTCGAGGACATTTTGCATATAACTTTTTACAGGCTCAGGAGATTTAATGTGTTAATAGCCAATTGACCAAGGTGAAAACTAAAAAGAACTTGCCACTTTTATTTTTACCATCTGAGGAGAAGTATTAATGCCAGACTACATATAAAAAGATAATCTTTTACAGGATTGCTCTTGTAATTTTAAACCATGTAATTTTTTCAATCCAAGGCATTAAAATAAAAAAAAAATATGAGGTTGCAGAAAGAACTTCTGGTTTGAAGAGTTATAATGGGAGAGATTTCTTAATAAGCAGGCAATTGTCTTCAGAATAGAGCTGGGAGAGTCAGAAAGTCTCCTTTTTTCTTATTCTATATTTTTGCACAAATTTGGTTAAACACAAATTAGGTGGCAAAGAAAAATAACAGAGCTCCCAGTGAAAGTTAATACCTAATGGGAAATAAAGAGTTTGCACTGCTTCCAAAGGCATGTCTCAAACCTTATTTGTTCAGGGAAAACTCCAGCTAAGATTGATGAGGAAAGTGTTTCCCTAGCTTTATTATTTCATATTTCTAAGCAGCTTTAATATTCAAGTTCACATCAAGTATAATTACAAAAAGCCTATTCTTTGAAAAAAAAAAAATCTTAGCGAGGCAATGAGAGGAAGCAAAGCCTAACCCAATGGCCACACTTTTCACGTGTTGCTCCTTCTACCTGCAGGATGATCAGGATATCATGAAACTACTGTGGTTATGATCTGATGGGACAAAATGTTTTGGGAAGCAATAACTTCTTTAAAACAGTAACCCTTGCAGTCCCATGTAGCAGCTGAGCTCAGCAGAAGGTGGTGAGTGGGTGCAGATCCAGGGCTGACAAACTGCCCCATTGCTGTCAGGCAGCAGCACTGTGCTTGGAGTGTGCATTATGGCAATCACCAACCCTGTCAGGAGGGGGACATGCAGTGACCCCTAGCTGGTGTCACAGGTCACTGTGCAAGGCAACAGCTGGACCTTAGGCAATGTGATACTCTGGCAATGATGTGGATAATGTCAATTTGTCCAGTTTTTCCAAAAGACTTACATATTGGCTGTCTCCATAGACGTTATTCTAGAAAGGCCAATCCTATTTTTCATGGATGCATCAAGTAAGCACATGAACAAAAAAGATATCTCTGTGTGCATATGCATGTAATTTTCCATGACAAAGATGGTTCTTCTCCTTCAGATTCCAATACCAATGTCCTCCTTATGTGATGACATCTTGATGCAGAACAGTGAGATGAACAAATGTCTGTGTTTATCTGAAAGAGTCTCTTCCAAAATGAGTTCTGCTTTGTATATAAGCTGGCAATCTTTTTCAAAACCAGAATATACACCAAAGTCAAGATACACAGTCATAAATTATGCCAGGTTAAATTTTCACATCAAAAATACTCTTCCTCATACTTCAAAATCAGTATCCTGTTTTATTGATAAATCTTCATTTGGATCACCTAATGTATTTGCCACCAAGATGCTCCTTTTCTGGTTTGTTACTGTGTAATAAACTGTGCTTGGTGTAATAATAATTGCACTGACCAAATATTTCATTGGTCATTATAAAAAACTCCCAAGTTTTACTTTGCAGATGGGTAATACATGTCAAGACTTTAGTCCTAAGTGTTTCATTTTGACACAGAAAAATTGCCTGTAAATATAAGTATGTCCCACTTTGTTCTTTTATGTTAGTATTTGGCTTTAGAAGGAATTCCTGCAACTGAAGCAGTGCTAAAATTGTCCTACAGATTATGTTTCACCATGTGCATGTGTTGATTTTATGTGTATGTATCCCTGAGAAACTATACACCCTGAAATAATGAAAACTTTCAGCCTTTCTGAGCTATTAATCCTTAAAGCTACATACTGCTGCTTTCTTTTTGTGCCTGAAATTCTCCAAAGCAGTCTAGGGGATTTAGACACATATCGTCTGTTAATTCTAGCGGTAGACATTTATCTAAATCCCCTACATAACTTTTTATTTTTTAAAAATTACCCAGGCTTCCTTTTATCTGCTCACTTTCTCTCTGTAATAGCACTGGCTAAGCACTGCCTGTGTTAAAAATATTACCTCTTGGCCACCCAAGAGGATTAGACAGCTTTGTACCAGAGGAACCAAAAGGGTGAAACAGCTAGGAAAGAATTGTGGAAGTGTATCAACTGCATTGCATTTTTTTCCAGAAGAGACTGTATCTTCAGTAGTGTGTGAGCACACCCGGTAGGCTGGGTGCTTCATATAGTCTGTGATTCTTCTGGTATTAAAATAATGCTAATTGGAAAAAGCCCACAACTGCTATTGCTATTGTTATTAATAGCAACATTGTTTATCTTCATACAGTTTGCTCTTCTCTCTTTCAGTTTTAAGTTTCAGTAATCATAAAGTTCTTAAAGAATTCAAGTAAAAAAAAATAATTTCCATTCTTTATAAAATTACCATTTCTTGGAGGAACTAAAAAAATTAAAATCTCCCTGAGGAATAACCTCTTCTTTTAAGAGTTTTCTATCTTTTATTTCAGTCATTTTATATCTGGACTGCAGCAGTGGAAAGGAGAGGTCAAAAGGTGGAAACATCAATGCTTATGTAATCCCCAAAGAGGATTACTCTCCTCACAAAAATGGCTAGTATGACATGTGAAATTAAGGATATTCATTCTGTGTCTGCACATCCCTTGTAATAGAATTGGTGAATCTTTAGAAAAATAGAGCAATATGAGAACAACCCTGCTTTTCCCATGGTATCAGCACAGATAGTATTAAAGTCCAAAACCAGTTTTTCTAAGCCAGCACTTGCCAAAGAGCTCTGCAGAGCCTCCCTTCCTCTCACTGTACACTTCTGCCAACTAAAGGATGACAGGTATACAGATTTATTAGAAATGGGAGAAGGGACACCACTTGGATTTTAGCACTTCCATTAGTCCTGGCAAACATGCATGCATTGTTTTCTCATTTGGACCAGGACTACACCCATTCCCAGATGGATAGTACACATTTATTGCATTTTGCTGCCAGGATTACACCATCTGAAGCAGTCTAAAACATGAGAATAATAAAACCATAATGATTTTCAGGCACAGTGCTACATAGGACAAAAATCACTGAACAGATACTTTGTTAAATCATTTTATGTGCCACTGAATGCAACAGTCAATGACATATTATAAATCTGGTGGAACACCATTATAAAAAAACCCCCAAAAACATGATATGTCTTGGAAGAGCTAGTGAGTGTGCCAACCCAACTTCCAATAAAATTTTATGTGAAAAAGAAAACAACTTCTTAGTGCCAGTGCTAATATTTCAAAATGAATGCCTAATTAAATTGGTATTTACATATCACACACAAAGGCCCAACTGCTTAAAACCCAACAGGATACCTTTTGAGACATAACTTTGATCAGTGCATTTCCCTGTACATGACTGTTTTCATTGTAAATGAGAAAAATACCTACTGAGAGTTAATTTAAAATCAATGCCTTATAGTTACACCATAGGATTACACAGTTAGTACTTTCAGCCAATTAAACCAGTTTACCACCAGGAAAGTTGCCCTAAAAAGTAAAGAAAGTTCAATGTTGAATTTTACTGATCTGTTCTAAATTTGGAAGCATTTTCTTAAATATTTTACTGGACATACTGAAAATAATACATAAAAGAAAAATGGTGCTTTTTGAACTGAAAAAATAGGATTAGCTGGAATAGAGTGCCTTGATTGCACATTTCCTCACTCATTGTATATAATTAATCATATTATGAATGCATTTTAATAATGCCTTATTTTTAAAAAAGTAGATGCTAAGATTACTTGGTGTCACATCATTTATATCTTGCTCTGCCGTGCCCTGCCTTCTCCTAAGGGACAGAATGTCAACCAGTTTCTGCAGTGACAAAACAATATGGATTCATTTGATTGCCACTGGTGGCATTTTTGGCTCATTTTTCATGGCTCTGTCACCCAGGTTCATCAAGAACTGCTTCTCCTTATTCTCTATATTTGGATATTGGTTTTCCGTGGCAATTTTTCATACTTGACTTGACCGATGTGATCTTTGCTGCTGTACGCTGACATTTGCTATGATATGAGTACCCAGGACTTGAAATACTGTCTCAGATTTGACTTCAGATAGTTCTATGAGAACAGAAGGTTATTCCATTACCAGAAGCAATTAGATACATTTATATCACCAGCCTGCTGTCAGCTGTAGGTTCAGAACTGAAGAGGAAATACGTATTGGGTTAATATTCCTACCTTCCAACTCCCAGCAGCCAAGTTCTGCAGTGCCCCCGCTGCCCCCTCCAGCGTGTCTGGATTTGAGCACTCAGAAAGAAGTGTGAGGTAGGGTTTGACTATTGAAGGGTGCCACAGCATCTGGATTCCTTTGGGTGGTTCTGCACAGTCTGGGAGAGGTCCTACGCCATCCCACTGTTGGAAAGCACAAATCACATTGTCAGCAAGGAACAGTGAAATACATTTGAGAATTGCCTCAGTTGAAACTATAACATCTGTGAAGGCATCTGCCCATAAACAGATGTTCTCAATGTTTGCACATCATGTGATTCTTTATGGAGGAACCAAATTTCCTACTCAGCATTCCATATAAACGAACTATAAGATTGGCAGAAATCCCAATGTTTTAGCTAGCTGAAAAAACAAAAACACTTTTCAATGTATGTATTTTTTTTGTGTGTGGGAACAGAAGCCAAATGAACATTATCATAAGAGGCAAATCTAGAACTTGCATGGGGAGAAGAGATTTTCTTTTCACATCCTTCTCAGTTCTCCACATTGTCTGTCTTCCCATGAGAAGAAAAACAACACAAAATGCTACTATGAAAAACAGAATCATTCAAGGCCATGAGCCCTCTGTCCCATGAAAGGCACAAGTGTGACAAGTCTTCTTCAATGGCACAACTTCTGGCTTCTCACAATGAGAGTGCAGGAGGGATCAGCCAGCCAGCTGTGTGGTCTGAGACTCCAATGCAACTGGTAGAATCAGCCCTCAGAAAACATGCTGTTGCTCTCATCAGATGCAGGGTATTACTGTGAAAATAAACCTAAGTCTGATATCCAAAATGTGCAATATTTAAACCTGAACAAATGGTAGGTTATTGCAAAAACCCACTCTTACCAGAAATAACTATATTCCAGGAGGACAGGGATTCTCCTCTCCACTGGAGCACACAATACTTGCACCTATGTACGAAACATCTCAAAGGAAAATACACAGACTTTTTTTTTGCCTTTTAAACAAAAGTAAGATGTGGAATGCACTTTCAATAAAATTTTAAATAGAAATCTACTTATATATTTATTGTATGTTCTGTTTTGTTTTGTACAGATAAATAGATTTTAATAATTCATGGCACTAATGCAACTGTTAGAAACAAGTCTTAACTTTTTAAGAAATACCTTTTCTAACACTTCTGATATGTACACATTGTGTAACAGAATAAAAAGTAAACCTTTTAGTACCTTCGGTGAGAGGCTACTGTGCCTATATAAACAGAAAATCTGTACCATAACATTAACATCTACTAAACTGATAGCATAAGTCAAATTAATTCTTGGTTTAAATCTGCAACAGTTAATTTAACTAGTTGTGAGTGTAAAATAATACTTGCACTGGAAAAGACCTAGAACCTCTTGTTTTCAGAAAGTATCAACCATCATTTTATTTACACTAACTTTAAAAATAAAATACATATATTTTAAGGGACAATCAACCAAGTCTTCCCTAATAACAACTAACCCAATTTCAACAAGGTTTTGTGTGATTAATGTCTTTAGGAATGAAACCTGCTATTCTTTTCTAAATTAAATCAGAACAAACACCAAATTGGAAAGCTAGAGGAACCATTTCATACACATGAGCAGTTACCAGAAAGCAGCTCAGGTGTGAAACTCACTATGCTGGACAAATGTTACCATAGTTTAAAAGAACTGGCACAGCAATGCCCAGTGGTGGTTGAGAAAGTAGAGGACAAATACCTTCTGGAGAAAGAATGCATTCAAATGACACTATTATGGGGCTGTGTCTTTGAGATTTTTAATGCATTTCTGCCTTTAAACCAATAGATTGTTTTCAGTGCATGTGACTCAATTCTTCTTTTTCCTCCTTATAAATCACCAGCCTTGCTAGAAATGAGTTCTTTTCAGCTCATAAAAAATACATTAAAGCCTGCTTCTTATTTTAACTCTCAGAATTCAATCATTCACACTGTCAGATTTTTTTGAAAACAAATGAGAGACATATCTTACAGGTCAAATCTGACTTCACACCAGGTTTAGGTTTTGCACCTTAGTAAGACCACTAATGAATGACTTGTGATGTCCAAGGGCACCAGTTCAAGTCTTCACTTGTCTCATTCCAACTTACATGAATTATGCATTATGCAACTAAATAGTGTTTGTACAGGGTATATTATTTCAAGGACAAAGCACATGAAATGCATCAAATGTACCAGATCTACCCATATGAGGGGGTATATGCCTATGTGGGGGTATGAGTTTTTTTTATGCTCAGCTATTTACACTTGTATGATCCCAAGGACTACTGAAAATCAGCTGAAATAAATAGAGCTCCATATATATGTTCATGCTGTGCTGGTACATATAAAGCACTGGAAATGATCTAGCAGATAAATTAATATTTAATGTTCTTTTGCCATTCTGCCCAGTAATGAGAAAACATTAAAAAAAAAAAAAAGGAAACAAATTACTGCTTTTCCCTGCCCTCTTTGCAACTCACTTTCAGCACGATTACATTAATTTATCACCAACTGTGAGGGAAGACCTTTTTCCCAAGATGCTGTGATGCCTTAGAGTCCATGTAATGATGATGAAAATCTTTGGTACCACACATGCATGTGCAGTGAAGGGACAGGAAATTCAGTCACCCTGGAAAATGTCCTGCAGTGCTCTTCACATGTGGTGCGTGTGCCCAGCGCAGCTGAGTGGCGGCACAGGGAGGGTGGCACTGCTCACCACGCTGTGCTGGTTTAGGCTGGGTAATTACCTTCACAGTAGTTGGTACAGAGCCATGTTTTCAATTTGGGCTGGAAACAGCCTTGAGAACCCAGGGATGTTTTAGTCACAGCTGAGTAGCACTGACACTCACACTGAGTAACACAGCCTTTTCTGCTCCTCATCCCATCCCACCAGCGAGGAGAATGGGGATGCACAGAGCTGGGAGGGAGTACAGTAAGAAGGACAGCTGACTCCAGCTGACCAAGGGACATTCCATACCACATGGTGTCATGCTCAGAATATAAAGCTATGGGGAAGAAGAAGGAAGGGAGGACATTTTCATAGGGTTTGTTTACCCAAATCACAGTTATGCATGTGGAGCCCTGCTTTCCTGGGGATGGCTGAAGATGGGAAATGTTCATGCTTGCCCATGGGAAGTGGTGAATGAATTCCTTCCTTTGCTTTGCTTCCTTGTGGGGCTTTTGCTTTCCCCATTAAACTGCTTTTACCTCAACCCACACATCTTCTCACTTTCACTGTTCTTCACCCCCACCCACTGGGTTAGGGCTGTGTGGGTTTGGTTGCTGACTGGGGTTAAACCACGACACCGCTGGCTGCTGTGTCTGTGGCAGCATCTTCACTGTAGGGCTTGGTGGCTTCTGGTGTCTTCTGTGTAGCTGAGACCAGTGCCTGAAGCAGTGCAGCCCAACTGCTGCAGGGCACACAGAACTGACATGGGTAAGCAAAGAGGCTATTGCAAAAGAGATTCATTTGCCTGATATCTTCATTCATTTATTTCGTATTTCATAAACATCAACTGCCTGAGCAAAAAAAAAAAGGTATTTTTCCCTGGGTGGTATTAGAGTCCATATCTAAAGTAGTGGTTAAGGCATGGCAGAAGTTGCTTTGCAGTTTGCATTGCTAAATATTAATGAGCTGTGGCAGCATCCTCACCCAGTAAACACCTCTACCCAGTAAGTTACTGGAAGAGTTACTGTACTGTTGCTGTCCATCAGGGATGATCAAGAAGGTCTATTTGAAATAGACTGAGGCTGCAGTAGGAGCCTCTGAAAAAGAGGAAAACATGCAATTACTCTTCCTAGCTTATACTGAGGAAGAAAAAAAAAAAAATTCATAAACAAATATTCCTTCCAGGCTTCCCTCCTTCAGCTGAAATTACCCACATGTATTGTGGTTGAAGCTGACAAACTGCTTGTTACGTGGGTGAGATACAAATCTCTCATTTCCTGACACTGGTGCAAAAAAAAAAAAGAAAGTCTAGAAAAATAAAGAGTCGAATACCAAGATCTTTTAAGAACAACAGACTTTTGATAGTTAAAGTACTCCAATAAAATTTCCAAATTTTCATAATTGTAAGGAACTTTGAGAGGAGAAAAAGATCACTCATTGAGATGCTTTCCAGTGCTGCACAATAGATTATCTACCACTACCTTCTCATTTTAATGAAAGTAAATCCAAATTTATAGTGCAATTGTACTAAATACCTGGGAAGGCTTCAGCTCAGCAAGAGACGTATATTCTGCAGATTTTAGGGTTTGTACTAACAACCTAAAATTGTTGGGGTTTGCACTAACAACCTCAAAATGTTGGGGTTTGCTTTTAAATTGGTATCACATAACCATAGGTTTTCCTGTGAAAACAAAAACCCAGTATTTGATTTAAATCTGTTACATATGAATACTTCCTTTACCCCAGTCTGTACAAAATACCACTACTAAAAAAATTCTAGGAAAAAATTAAAACAAACCCCAGCAATGTCTAAAACCATCTAGACCACTCTCCAATGATCCCAGACATTTGGTATAGTATGATAACACTGTAGCTATGCTCCTTGAAGCAGCAGTGACAAAATTCACATGAGCAATTACACAGTGCTTACTAAAACCATCTCTGAAATGACAGAGACTTTTAAATTAACAGGCTCCCTAAGAAGACATTGATATCTCATCCTGCATGTCTTAGTGGCTGTGACAGTCTCTCCCAGCTCTCCCTAGGCAGGTCAGTCCAATAACCTCTTTGGACAGCTTTGTCCAAGAGGTGAATTGGCCAATGCTAAACAAAGAGCAGAAACTAGAAATTCAGCAACAAAAAATACAACCAAGTCACAGAGCTTGATTTCAGAATCCATCTACCTGGCACTAAGCAGGCAGGTATACCACTGTTTACATCAAGTCAAACCTCAGTTTAGATATCCAGGCCTAAATAAAGGTAGTGAACATAAGTGCAGGTGTTAACTGACACAGAGACTACAGGAGCATGGTGGGAGAGAGCAGAGCTCATTGCATAAATAAAGGTACCCTTCCCAGTTTGATGCAACATTTACAACATTATAGAAAAGGTGTTTGCAATGCTTTCAAAACATTTCAATGTATTGAATAATTATAATTAATTTCAGATATTAATAAACCTAAATTGTACTTTACATTATACATTACACTCTTAAAAGAATTGCCACTGCCTTTTTTCAACTTTTTAATATTATGCTTAATATTAGCTAAGAAAAAAATAGTAATTCAGTCTGTACATTTTCTCTTTGCTGTGGTAACAAAAAACCAGTGATAACAGCAAAAACAGACCCTTCCCAAATAAAGGGGGATGGAGTTAAAGCTGCATGCCCTTCTCCTCTCCACAGAAAGCTGAAGCTAATTGGCTTTGCAGTATGTTCCACGAACTGACAAATACAAATTATATTTAATAACTCTGCAGTTTTGACTTTGGAAACAAATTGGCCATACATGACACTGAGAGGCTCACAGAGTATCTGGCAAGATGCTGTGTTGGCAAGCAAGAAAGCAGAAATGTTTTCCAAAAGTCTCTGTAAGGAATTGCTCAGGACAGTTGATTCTTGCTACTCAACATCTGACATAACCACCTTGTGCAAGATGAAGAAGCAACAAGTGGAAATAATATTCCTTCTGAACAAGAATGTATTGGCAACACAGCTTTTCATTCCTAATCACAGTTCATGTTAGTGGTTAAACCCAGGACCTGCCACCATTTCTCTGTTTCTGGGCTTATTAGATAGGTATGGCTTGGTAGAGCATGAAGCACACTTGGTAAAATAGTGGTTTCACCACATGAAAAGACTTATCTGGTAGGTTTATTTTTTATGCTTTTTGAAATATTATTGCCTTAAACCTTCTATTTCACATAGATAGAAGAATTTATAGGACATTTAGCAAGCATGCTAAAGAAGCGTGCCAGTCAATTCTTAATGATATATAACTTGAAATGTTGCTGTTATAGCTTAAGGCTCCTGACAGAAGGTGAAAAAGAAGGTCAGGCTCATTTCAGAAGTGTCACTTCCAATCAAAAAACAGACTTTGGGCTAGATTCTGGTTTGACAAGAATGATCACAGATGGGGAACTCAAGATGAGCATGAAGCCAAGAAGTCAACTTTTTTCTCTTAGAGAAGAAAGGAAAAGAAATGAAATTGTGCCACATGTATACATAATGGGCTGTGTAACAAGAAATAAATAAGGATTAATGACAACTCCCTGGCATTTTTTTAACTGAAGTTGGACCATACACCTGATTTGTCCTAACTGCTTTTTGTCATAATCCTCATTTCTCATACAGCTCAAAGAATAAATCTGTAGGCAGCAGTGAGCATGTCAGCAGCATGAACAGCATTTTCAGCAATGGAAGAATCAGTTTCCATTTGAAAAGTGACACAATACAAGGCAGAGAGGTTGATGTCTACAAGGTCCTAGTCAGGGATGAAGGGGTCTGAGGCTGGAGAGCTTAGTGGGGTGAGTGTTCATACCAGCTGATCACAGGTAAGCAGCAGAGAAAAACTAACAAAACAGCAGAGAATTACAGTCCTAGAGGTTTGAGACAGAAGCCAAGTTAGCTTCTCTTATTTTTTCTGAGGCCTTAACAGAAGTTTTGATTTCTGTGTTTCCATAAATAAAGCCAGTGCTATACCTAGATTTTATCACAAACCTTCAGAAGGTTTGGCCATCTTCTAACATTTAATTTGTGCAACAAAGCAGATGCCTCAGAAACCTCTTTCAGCTCTGAAAAACAGTTGTGGGCTCTTTTAACACCACTGACCTTTATTCTGATATGTGGAGAATACTTGCTTCCTGTGATCCTAAGGGAATTCCTTAAGTAAAGTAATTTGCAAGGTGTCATTAGACCTATGATCTGAACAAAGACAAATCTCTTACTTGATTCCAAGATGCACAGAAGTTGCCATTATAGACAACTGATAGACAACTGGCATCATTAATAAAAAATAAATTTCAGTTTATTCTTGAAAGGCCTTTGAAAGAAGCCACATTTTATACTACCACTCAATTCTGTTCTTTCCTTTAAGTAATTTACATGTGACTACACCTGAAACATAACTTGAGAAAAAAATTGGGATACTTGCTCCATAAATCATAAACCAAAGAAATGAACTTGTACTTTCTTTGTAGAGAAAATACATGAGAAAGTGACTTTAATGTCAAACTTCTCCTGTTTTATGGCTTAAGAAACAAAATCCCCTGTTCTGTGAAGGATTTTTTGTAAGTACAGAAAAGTGCATCTTCATCCACATTCTTTGTCTAAAATTATACATCTGTTTTTCTTTTGCAACTACAATAGTTTCGCTACTATTTTTTTTACAAAGACTTTTATCCAAAAATTAAAGACTACCTCATAAATGCACAATGAAGTTCAAGTAAATACACATAAAAATGAAGAAACTAAGTTACAGTGATAGTGTAATAGGAAAATTTCAAAACCGCATTCACTTAAATCTGAACAATTTTCTTCCACACTGTTTTGTACATCTTATATTCTGAGAAGAACTGAAACAGCAATTTTGTTTTGCAAAAACCCCGTGGGCTGCCAATAAAAGAAAAAAACCCTATACCCTGAACATGTATCTTGTGGGGACATAAAACGTAGCAACATAGAGTGGATGCCACTCCCCTGTACTGTGGTGTCACAACTGACAGAGATATGCCTGTGCCCTGGGCTTTACCTGAAAAGATAAAACTCATAAGTATTAAAGGAGCCACAAAGACAAAGAAGCAGAAAGAACAGGTCTTTTCACACAATTGGACAATTGTGTCCAGACTGGACAAGTACCTCTGAACATACTTCTGTACTTATTTTTTGCAAAATAAATTGACAAAAAGGTTAAATTTACCTTTATCTCAGTTTATTTTATGCTATTAATATAAATGTGGTTACATGAAAAATATTGCTTTTCTTTTCCATTTTTGAGGGTAAGTTGGGAGAGTTGTTTCTGGCACAGTGATCTTGCTGCTGTTGTTTTTAGTGGCACTCTAGTTAACTTGATAATATATTAAATTGATAATATACTTCAAATCATTTGGAATGTTCAATAGCAATCTAGGATTATGGGGTGAAAATAACCTGCAGAAGGCTCACAAGGCCCCCTTAAAATTCCTGAACTGAATAATATCCACATGTGAGACCTTGAATATGGCAAGATGAAGTAGGATGTCTGGAAATTAGATGAACGAAGAAAACACCATTAGAAAAATGTTTTTAATACTTGTAATATAAAGCAGTCCTATGCACAACAGAATCAGTTCTGGAAAGAGTAAATTTATGTCCTTGCCACAGAAAATCCTAGTGATCATAAACCTGAAAAATATGTGTGTAGTTTTATTGTTCTTTAGACTTTAAAAATTATATAAAACTCTTCCATGAGGCCAACACTAACAGCTCTGAGGAGATCTTTACCATGCAACATGCTGATAATGACCACTTATAGAAATAGACAAAAAATATCTAAGAGCAGGCAAAAGCATGCACATTGTAAAGGTAATTGGCCAAAAGAGCCCAGCTCTTTGGCCTGGAGGAGCAAAAAAAATGTTTTTAAGGGAACCATTACAGTACAGAGAGGCCCCATGGGAATACTGAAAGAGTCAACAGTACAGAGTTAAAAGCATGACTGTGAGATCCAAAAGTCACAGAAGAAAGAGAAGAGGAAGACTTAGAAAGTCTTTAGCTAGTGAGTGTGTGTGCATGTGTTAGTAAACAGAGCACCAGAGAGCAAGCCAAGCTGCAGTGTGACACATTCATCCCCAGACATGCTATTTTTTGCTCATGCACTTTGAATAACTGCAAGCACAGTGTGTGAGAACTGTTAATTCAGTAACAGGGATGATGACTACTTCATGGGATAAAATTAGTTTGCTTCAACACTTACAATCTCACTGTAGCCTAACACAGGAATCCCAACAAAAGGCCATAATAAATTCAAGTTATCTGATGATAGGGTGTTTAACCACAAGAGTAGGTGAAATAAGTCTTACTAGTAATGAGTGCTGCATTTTTCAGTAGCCAAGCTTTAGCTTAGTAGTGTTGCTAGAACCTTTCCACATCAACACAAATTGGCTTCAGGAACTCAGGAATATTTTCAGTACTGGTTGACATTATTTATTACCCTGTGCACTTAATTGCTTACTCAAATAAATATTTTCTTTGAGCAATCTGAAACAGAAATAAACTACAATGCAAAAAACTGAGTAAGTGTAGGAAGAGGTGGAAAACTTACTACTGCCAGCACAGGCTGTCTGAAAAAGTCCATAAATCAGTAGCCATTCTTATTCCTATTTGCTGTGTGTACAGTGTCTTTCTCTGCAATACAACTGTTAGTATTCCCCAAATTATAAGGTCTTAATAGGATAAAAAAAGAGATAAATACACTTTAACAATCAACCCACCCAAAATGATAACCTGTCAAATAACTTGAGGAAGCAATCAAGGCTTAGCTTTTCACTTTTTCTTTGGTAACAACATAAAATATATCAAAATATGAATGCTTTCATAACATTCACTCATATTACTTGATTCAGTCCTGTACAGTTTTCTTTCAGTGTGTAGAGACATGGTACAAGACTAACTTCGAGGCAAGTGAGTGTATATATACAAGCCTGATGTTTGTTTGCATTAAAGCCTTTCTACACACACGTGGCTCCATGGAATTACAGTGTAAAGTATATGCAGATTACACTTTTCATTAGAAATGGCTTCCTTTCAAAGAGCATTTTATGGTATTTATGGCATTCACAGTGTACCCATGACTACAGTTTCCAGGAGCACCACATAATGTACAATTTCTCAAGCAAACATATTTTATTACTCCAGAGCCATATTCTACTTTAAGCTCTCAGCTAATTAACAAGGACAACAGTTTTGTATACTATGTGTCACGCATTTAATTTCTAATACAGTGCATTAATTATTTATATTTTAAATGATGGGCACTTCAACTACTCACAACACAGCTGCAAATAACTTTCATTACCTGATCTTGTGATTTCTTTTTCTTCTTCTTCTTCCCCCAGCACCCTGAACTCTCTGCATCTTTTCCATTGGCATCACCACAGAGTAATCCATCAAGTTCATCTGTTCCCATCTGCTGTCCCTGAGATGTTTCTGCAGCTAGCCTGTATGAGAGGTTCCTCAAAATGCACACACAGTTTTCAACGGTCTGAAAAGTATGACAAAAAGAAAAATACAGAAAACAAAACCAGAGAGAGATTAAAATCCTCCCCTTGCTCACTCTGAATATGAAGCAGAAGGAATGTCATCTATCTTTGAATGCGCCTCTTCCCAGCACAATTCTTATGCGCACATTTCTGAGTGCTCCCCAGTTAATCACAGGTTAAGAGACTCAGAAATTTTTATGGTAACAAAGCAGTGGTCTGAACAATACTTTACTGGGAGTTTTTTTATTGTTTTTCTGAATTTCACACTGGAGCCCCACGTGAAACAGATGTTGAGGTAAAAAGCGATCAAGAGAACCTGAACACTCCAAATGTCAGAAAACTCCCACCTCAGCGAACAGAAAATGCTACAAACAGAAAGTGGTAATAGATCCTGGGTTTTGTCCTTTTAAAACCAGAAATAAACTTTTTTTCTGGCAGAAATTCTATGTAAATTGCCATAAAATTTGGTGTGAGTTCCATTTCACAAGTACTTGTAGCATGAACAGATGATGTTTCTCCAGTCCCAGAAGTAGGACTAGAAATCTGTCTTGCTGCTTTTACTGCTTCTAGCCAGGCTGCAGATACCTTGTGTGCAGCCTTTCCCTTTCATCCATTTATCCCCCTAATAGGTTGTGCCTTCTGTAGAAGATGCAAGCAGGAATCCATAAATGGATGAGACCCAGTGGAGGAAAATTCACATGTAATTCAACCTAATTTCTCCAAGTCTAAAAGAAGTTCAGTTTAGATGTGAAACCTGCTCATTTAGTTGGTTCAATTTGGTTTGATTATCCCTAATAAGAAGGATATGAGCTTAATTTTCTCCCCACAAGGAAAGCATGGTTAAAAAAGCCATTCTCTATCTATTTATATTTATTTCAACTGTTTCTAATGCTCTGTGGACATAAAAAGCAATAGCCACTACATCCCAGCTCTTTTGCTCCATTAACCCAGAATGGAATGACTGTGAGGTTTTCAGCTCTACCCTGCTCTGCCATATTCACCAGTGAGGCAAACAGATGGGGCTTCATTTCCTTCCATGTATGGCATGAGCTTCTGCCAGGTATGCACTCAGCACACGCTTTTTGTGATGACACAAAGCTCCAGAGGTGACATCGAATTCAGATTCATCTAAACAGGAACACTTATGTATCTGTTTTCTAACATAGATGAAATGTCACAATTTTGCAATACGTTTGTACTGATTTGAAATTTCTGCCAAATACATAAACACATGTAGAAATATGTATGTGTGTGTGTCTGTGTCTAAAGTGCTCTTAGTGCAGCTTTCACAGCTGAAAGCTTTGCAAACATCACAGTGACCATAATTATTTTTCAAAGTTTGCTACTTCTTTGGTTTTTTTTTTAACATGCATTTTATTCACTTTTGATATAGCATGCTGAAGTTAAAGCTTTGCATCTGTTGATTAGAATACTAAACTTTGATTTTCCTTTTAATAAATCATAGTTTTTGCATTTGAAATTCTCATTTTGTGGAAAACATAAGCTGAGTCATCACAAGGACAATGTTACCTTAAACTAAAAACTGATAAGCAAACTTCCAAGGCTCAAATTCAATCAACACCTTCTCTATTAATGTGAACTCCTACAAGCCAAGAAAGCTGGTTCGAACCACACAGCTGGACAGACTTCACCCCTCCTTGACTTTCAAGGATCCTTGAGTTCCTTATTCTATTTTCAGTTTCATCATAAAGGCACTAGGTACAAGTTCACTAGCTTTTCTACTCTAGCTACTTTTAAGCTACTCTGAAGCTAATGAAGTCAAAAACACCCCTGTATTTGGGGGCTGCTCTGCAGGAAGTAGTGGGGGCTGGCAACAGCCAAGTTTGCCCCAAACCCTGCTGCCAGGTGTTTTGCCTGCCTTGTAGGTTGGTGTCCTTTGAGCATCCCTCTACTAAACTTCTATTAATGGAACATTGATTACAGGGTAATGGGTTGTGAGATTTTTTGGGTGTTTTGAGGGGTTTTTTTCCTTAAAAAAAAAAAAAAAAGCCATGCTGTTAGCCCAGCACCTCATGCTATGAACCTGTCTATATTCCTCTCTCTGTCCCCTGAATTCACAGGCAAATTTCCCCTATTTGATTCAGATGGTAGCCAGAGACTCCTGGAGATTATTCCTCTCAAATCTATAAACCCATGGGGGTCCACAGACAACTCTGTGAAGTAGTATTTGGAAATACAAGCCCAGTGGGCTTTAAAACCTTGCTGCATAAAAGGCTGCTCTCCTGCAATTCCTAGGGGTTTGCAAATGGACCAAGGTTGCCCTAGAGCAGCCACTGTAATTAATTTAGCACCATTTACTGAAAGCAAAAGAAACTGGCCTTTTTCTTCTTCTCTGGAATACTTTAATGCATTACAAATCTTCAATTTGTAAATGCTTGGAGTCTTTTTAATTAGGGAGTGTCTTTCACCTCTGGAGAAGCTTGTTCATATCCTAGCATTTTAAGAGAAGTAAAGTTGACATAATGAGGCATCTTAACACAGTTGTTATTGAAAGCATTCATTGATCCTCTTCAAAGAAGAAATAATGTTGGTTTTACTGCAAAACTGCCTATTAATTGTCCAATTCTTTTTTGCTTGTTTGCCTTGTAAGCCTACCTCACTCTCATTAGCTCTCATACTGGGTACTAAAAATCAATTTTAAGGTAAAACTGGCAGAGCAATGTAAGGAACTTTACACAGAATATGATATATTTTCTCTTAAACCAGTATCATACTTTCTACTTCAATAATTCAACAGAGAGGATGACATGCTTACCTGTGCACCCTACACCGGTACAAATACAATGCTTAGCACATGAAAATAAACAGCTCAGCAGAAAAAAAAAAAAGGAAGAGATGGGCTAAATTATGCTTTGCTAAGACATTCCTCACTACGCATGGAAAAAGGAATATCATGAAAAACTGGTCTCTTTATAGTCCCCATGTACCCTGAATACCTGTATTTGCTGCTGAAAAGACAAAGACGACAAACCTTACTATCAATTTCACTGCTCCCCAGAGCAGACTGGATCACGTACAGCAATGCATCTGTCAGGCCATCACACTCCCTCATTCTTCTGCGGGCCTCCTCTCCAGCAGAGCTGACATTCCTGCAAGGCAACAGCAAGGGTCACTATCCACACAGCTCACTGCCCCGCCTGAAACCTTCTCACAGTTCACATACAGATACAACACACGTTATCCTTCTTCCTCTCATCAGCTCAGAGGTGTGAATAATGGAGACAGCTGCGAATGAGCTCAGGAAATGTAACGCAGAGGGGAACAAATGGAAGACATCAGGTCCTCCACAGGATGGGGCTGAGTGGCCAAGCAGCATGCGCCCACCTGCATGGGGAGACTCATGGCCCATTAAATTTGGAGAAGGGCTGATAATTTCCGTCCTTCCTTCCCTTCCTTTCCTCCCTCCCTTCTTTTAAAAATATGCATATGTACATATAAAACAGGATTTCAAAAGTCTAGAGGTTTTGACAAATACATCTCCTAGGAATTGAAGAGCCCAGGAGTTAGGGTTCTTAACCTGAGAGAAAGATATTATCAGAGCATAATATGAAACACCTGCTGTTGTTTGCTTCTCATTTTACATGAGTGTTTCCTTTTCTCTTTCATTTTGAGAGAAGGTTAATGCCTCAGTCTTCTCTTTACGTAGTTTATTTTACATTTCAAAACTTAAGGCTTTAGATTATTATAATAACATTGTAATTCTTGTGTTCCTTAGATGGGGCCACATGGCTTTCTGAATATATTTATACAAATCCAATTAAAACAAAATTCACTGCGTAACATATTGTGTCATAAAGTTCAAAGTACTGATACACAAAGAAACAAATATGTATGAATGAGCATTTACAAACAGAATCTATATTTGCTAACATCAAGTCTCCCAGAGAAAAACTGCATGCAAATATGCATAGCAGGTTTGATTTGGAAATGGGTGAATTAGCAATCTCAAGAATGGGGTAAAACTTTTCAGAGTCTCCTTCAGTAGGGGAAGATGACCCTTTGCTGATGTGGCTCGTCTGCAGCTCTTCCCTCCCCACTAGTAAAGTCTACAAAGAAAGAACAATAAAAGCACACACACCAGACCTATGTATTTAATGCTAATGTGTGAAAATGGAAGGGAGGACATTGGCCCTTGAATTTGGGAAGAAGGCAAGGCACTTTCTATCTTTTATGCCATTTTCAATAACCTTTGCACTAAAGGTGGAAAAAGCACAGGAATCCTGGGAAGGAGGAAAGAATTTCAGATGGAAGATGAGAGGATTTAGGGCTAGGTTTCCTTTCAATCTTTTTCTGCTCTACCTACTTCATCCTGCTCTGCTTTCTTATTATCCAAAAAAACCTGAAAAAAGCATTTTCATTTCCCCAAAGCCACAAAGAGTCTTATAACTGGACAAATCCCCCAGTTCCAATTCAAGTTCCTAACTGACTGCCCCCTAAACATATATGATTTGCCATCTATACTTGCATCCCCACACAGCCCTAATTAGTTCTGCTCTCCCACACACAAACTGGCCCAATTATTTCAATACTGTTCCCTTCACCTCAGCAGACAGCTTGACAGAAAACATATAGCCCTGGAGCACTGGAATGAATTCTTCCATCTCTCTAGCAAACAAATTCACTCTCCTTGAAACCCCTCATTTTTGGCCACATTACACATCAGAAGCCTGCCCTTCATAACAGCTTGCAAGTGTGTGTTGTCTGATTCCTCTGGTCCCTGAACTCCAATGCCTCCTTCCTTTATCTCTCTGCTGCTATAAGATCAGCAGGTGAGGGGTTTTCCTCCAATTCATGGGGAAACTTTCTTCTAGGAAGTAGGGTCTGGATAACATCAATTGAAAAACTCTCTCCCTTAGAAGTGATGGAAACTTCTGACTTACCTTTGTGTGGCAGAAATAAGAAGGTAGAAATATAGAGTATGGTTTTCCCCAAACAAGTATCTGTGCCCTATATTTGCAGGTCTGGAGACTCCACCTAAAGTAGAGTAGACCACGCTCTTTTAAAGGCAAGAGCTCTACTGATATTCTGAAAGGGCAGCGCCATGTAGGAAAAGCAGAATCATGGACTGGAAAAGCTCATTGTGGGGTTTAGAGTGAGGACAAGAGGGATTATTTGACTTCTTTCTGAAACTTCATTCTCTTACCCTCTAGGCAGATAAAGACAGCAGTAGGTAGATAAATATAGATGGAGAGAGGGCACTGAGGCACTGGTGCAGGTTACCCAAAGAAGTTGTGGATGTTCCGTTCCCTGCTAGTGTTCAAGAGCAGGCTGGATGGGGCTTTGAGCAATCTGGTCTAGTGTAAGATATTACTGTTCATGGTAAGGTGTTAGAATTCCATAGTCTTTAAGATGCATTCCAACCTTAACTGTTTTTATGATCCTATGACTCTATGATGAAGAAAGTTGTATCCAGCCCTAGAAGAGCAACCGCAGAAATTATAACAGGAGGATGCTGAGGAAGAGTTCTCAGCATGGCTTTGCACCTTTCTTTACACCACTAGGAAAAAAAAAAAAGCGGAAATATTCCTGAATCCGTTTAAACAGAGATATATCTTCAAGTCTGTACTAGAATAATGTGTAACTAGAATAATAAGGCTTCTTTACATACTGAGTGCAAGCTTTCAAAAAAGACTGATTTAGACACCACCAGAAACAGAGATATAGTCTCCCTGATCTTCTAATTGAGGTGATTTTTCCTTCTCTCTATCACAGCCAACTGCAAGTCACCTTGACTGTCCAGAGCCTGCAGAGACTGTCAGCCTCTCAGCTCCTCTCCAAGTTCACCAGAAACTTCTCCTCACCAAGACAGCAATGTAGACAACCTTATAGTCCCTGAGCTGTGAGCTATCTGCCTCATTCATTTCCAGCAAACAGAGAATATGAGGCCTTTGCACAAAGCAATACAGACACACCAGGGGCACATCTTGCACAGACAATGCATTTCCTGGCTCTGTATGGAGGAGATGTCGAGTCGGGTTCTTCTGTTTATCATCCTTCCCCATTATGCTCCAGTTGCTCCTTTAATCAAGAGATGAATATTCTGAATTCCCATGACTGCCTTTCCTTTTCTTACAAAAGTCACTGTTTACTTTCTGCACTGACTCATAGCTACTACAGCCTTCACTGAGTTATGGTACATTTATTTACATAGGAAACAGCTAAAAAACAACACAAATCCCAACCTTGCCTCAGCATTTTGGCAGAAATAATCAGTTGATTATTTAAAAAGAAATACACCCCAATATCTAGTTAGTGTCATATCACCTCTACTGCAGTAATCACTCTTAACTGAGATCATTCACAGAGGGTCTCTAATACCACCATGTTCAGGCTATGTAGTTCTGCAAAAGAGAAACAAGTTTCAGATTTAATGACCGGTCAAAGAAAACACGCTGTCATTTAACTTGGACATGCTGTAGCTGTCAGTGTGACAGGGAATAAGACATGATTTGTCATTTGTGAATTTACAGGTCACTGTGCAGATGCTAAATGTGAACATTAGTAGTATCGCCTGTTGGTAAGATGTCTCACTAAGTCAGTGAATATTTTTCCAGCGTGATTTTTCAAACAGGTGAAACCATGTTTTCTGGATGTGGAGATACAATACACAAGTTTTCAGGGAAAAAAATATTTCTCCATTATAAATGCAGCCCACCCTGTATACTTTGATTCTTAGTGTAAACTGTACTCATGGTGTATGTGAGCCATAGGCTGTCATTTTGAATCTAACAGGACAAGGAGTCCTTCAGCCTGCCATAAACCAGTAAAATGAATTTCAAATAGAATCCAGTCATGCAGGAATACCAAGAATACAGAGGGCTGAAGAATAACTCTCAGTTTAGTCAGAAGGTTCCAGTTACACCTCTAAACCTCAGCTAATGTAAGTAGCTTTTTCTCATGAGAGGAAGACTAAGGACAGATGGAGAAAGAGCTCAGACCCATGGTTCATCAAACTGATTTTCTGAACAAATGGCAGATTGACTTTGCTAATTGCCTAGGAATGGGAAGAGAATTAAAATAATCCAGCTTCAGCTTCATGGGAAAATGTGCCAACTATCATATCATCACCTGAAAACTATCAGGAGGCATGATCCTCCATACCTAAGGCATGTCAATGCAAGGCTCTTGGGATATGAAGGGTGTGGTATAAAGGAGTGCACTGTCCAGAACACGCCTGACTCCTGTCAACCCTGGCACTGGCATTAGTTATTCAATGCCATTGTCAGGCTTTGAGGAAGGGGAAGATGGGTGGTGCCAAGCAATTTCTTTCTGCTTTAGGGTCATTTTCCATACATTCATACAAACTGTGGGAGGTTCAGAGCAACGTCCTTATGATTCTAGGCTAACTAAAATCATCTGCCTTATACAGGGGCAAGACATGGATTTCTACAGAAAGATCATTCAGAAGGCAAGCCAGTGTGCTGAGACATGAACTCTGGATATGGGAATATTTAGCAAGCTGTTGAAACTACTCCCACTGGCAGTTTTATCTGTCTCAAAGACAGAATTAAAACATCTGCACCTGCCTTCCCTAAGCATGCTCAGGTCTCGCCAAGTAGTAGGACCTTCCCTGTAGCAGTTACGACTCTTCAGATTGCAGATCTCATTGAAGTCATGCCAGATAATAGTTGAAAACAAATAATCTGCATTTAGCAATGGTGAAATTGAGACAGGTATTCCTCAAAGCCCCATGATAAAAAGAGAAAGTATGTTTAATATCTAGTATATATAATATTTTTGTCATGGACTGAATAAGAGAGGACAGAAACGGGAAGGATAATATCCTAAATTAGCTGGAAAGCACAAGTTATCTTTGGCATGAAACTTCAGGGGCTTTCCAAGTATATAATTATTTCAAGAAGTTTTGTGTAAGAGGGACTAATCATAAAAGCCTCAATCTTTTTCATCTTTCTATGTGTTACAAAAGCCACCAATAAAAGATTTTTCACAGCAAGGGGGAAAGGTTTACAAAAATCAAGAGCTACACCAACCCCATTAATATTGCAGCAACTGCGATTACGTTTGCCTGAGGATACCTAGGAAGGGAAAAGCCCTCAGAATACTGAGTAACTGAGTTACAACTGGCACA